ACCCTTCCCCAGCAGCTCCGTTGCCCTTCTCTGGCCACGCTCCAGCCCCTCAAGGTCCTGCTGGGAGGGAGGGGCCCAAAACTGACCATGGTCCATGAGGTGTGGCCTCACCAGCAGACCTCCCCTACGTCCAGGGATTTTCCAAGCACTTAACACCCCATGGACCTGACTTGGGTGTGGTTGAGTGACTTCAAGTGTGAAGAATCTTGTTTTCTATTAATTTTTGGGCTATAAACTCTTGCCTTTAAAAAACAGCTTGTGGTCTTCTAGAGGGTCCAGCCACGGCCTGGTGGAACGTTCAGGAGTTGCTCCAGGGCAGCTGCAAAGATGAACTCCCTGGGCTCAGATGTGTGAGCATCAAACAGCAGCAGGAGGTGTAGAACCAGACAGGTTTGGGTGGGAAGGGACCTTTCAAGGTCACCCAGTCCAACCCCCAGCTAGAGCAGGTTGCTCAGAGCTCCATCCAACCTCACCTGGGATGGTGCCAGGGATGGGGCAGCGACCACCTCTCTGGGCAGCCTGGGCCAGGGGCTCACCACCCTCAGGGTCAAACCAGTCTAAATCTCCCTCTTTTAGTTTCAAACCATCCCCCCTTGTCCTGTCCCAACAGGCCCTGCTCAAAACTGTCCCCAGCTTTCTTCTAGGCCCCCTGAAGGACTGGAAGGCCACCAGAAGTTCTCCCCAGAGCCTTCTCCAGGCTGCCCAAGCCCAACTCTCCTGCTGGCCTCCCAGCAGAGAGGTTCCAGCCCTTGAATCAATTTTGTGGCCTCCTCTGGACCCGCTCCAATCACATGTCACCAAAGAACCTCCTGATGGTGCCTTTTGTCTCCCAGTGTGATGGAGGTTTGCACCCTGGGCCTGATGGAGGGTCCTTTAATGTGTCCCAAGGTCATCATGTCCCCTCTTTGCTGTTGGCCTCCTCTTCTTTTCTCTTCTCTTCTCTTCTCTTCTCTTCTCTTCTCTTCTCTTCTCTTTTCTCTTTTTGTATCTCTCCAGAGAGCTGTTGAAACCCCCAAAATTGGGCACTTTTAAGGTTCAGCTTCTTCTCTAGGCCGTGTTTTTCCCAGGGAAGGTGGGACCAGATGATCCTTGAGGTCCCTTCCAACCTGGGATTCTATCATCGTTGGGTTTTTGGGGGGGTGCAGGGGGGCAGCTGCCTCTTCTTGGCACCATCTCAACACCTCCTGCTTGGCCAAGGATTTGAGTTGCCCAAGGGCCACCTTGCCTGGGGGGCTGGTTCACCCCCTCCCCCCACCTCCTCCTTCATCACCAAGTGTTCCAAAATTCCCTGGGGTAGACAGAGGGGGTGGGTGGAGCCCGTGGACCTCAAAGCCACCACCCTGGACCTTGTGGCCTCAAATCTAATTCTGTCATTCTGAGACCCAAGAGGAAAGGGAAAAAATCTTTCTTTTTAACAGAAAAATCTTGGGAGGGGCTCAAAGGGGGTTTAAAAAGTCCCTTCACCCAGATCTTGGGGCAGGTTTAGTGCTGCAACAAGAGGCTGTAGACCCTCAGCAGCAGCAGGGAGATGGAACCCCATCATTTCTAACTCCCCCTCAACCCTCTTAGCCCCCAAATCCTCGACCCTCTTAAATATCCCAACCCCCTCCAACACGTTTTTTTGGAGCAGGGCTGGGGTTCCTCTGGAGTTGCACAAGCCAGACACGGGGCTTCCAAACTTCTCCTCCTGGCTTTGCTGACGTGAGGGCATTTTTTCCTTGCCCGGGAGCACTTGTGATGAGTGAGTAACTCCCCTGGAATTTTAACTCTTGGCCCTGGAAGAGGAAGCACCAGCCACTGGCTGGTGGGACCGACCACTTTTCCCCCCCCCCCCCCCGCTTTTTTCACTGTCGCCCGGGAAAGGGAACCCCCCAGCCACTGGCTGTTGGCACCGACCATTTTCCTCCCCCCTCCCCCTCTGCCAGAGCTTCCAGCTGGAGGAGCTTCAATGATTTTAGACTTTTGATTTCAAGGGGAAGTGTTAGAGAAGCTTTAAACTCCAGTTTTTTCCTCTCTTGCCCCCTGAAGGGCTGAGCTCTTTTGCCAGCTGGCCAGGGAGCTCCTCCAGCAGCTCGCCCCAGGTGGAGGAAGACTCTGGGGTGGGAGGTTTGGTGTCAGCAGAGAGGGTTTGGGGTGAAGCAAAAGCCCCACAGGACCTTCAGCTTGGCTCCAAACCCTGCCCTCCTGTGGCAGCAGCTGGCTGGTCCAAGAGGCCAAGGGAAACCTCCAGCTCCTCGTTGGGATTCCTTTGGATTCCTTCGTGGAAACATTGAGGTTGGAAAAGAGCTTTAAGAGCCCTGAATCCAACCTTTATAGATGTGTGAAATAGGGATGAGGGAACATCTCCCCACTCCAGAGAAGGGTCTGGGGGTTGTCTTCTGCTTCCTGTCCCAGATGTTGCTCCCTAGCAGCTGTCTGAACCTCGGGGGGAACCTCAAGATCCTCAACATCTCCCATCAGGGCCTGAACATCAGCCAGGGTCCTGCCCAAAAGGAGCTGGAGGAGCCAGGGGTGCAAAGAACACGGATGGGTTTGGGGACCAATGAGCTGCACCGAGGGGCTGTAGAAAATCCTCCCCCCCTGAGGAGAGCAGGTGACTGCTCCATGGGACAAGACACAACGTGGAGGAGGGACAGGGAGGAGGAGGAGCCTGCACCA